TCTGAACCTGAGAAAAAACTTCTTCACTGTGAGGGTGACAGAGCATTGGAACAGGTTGCCCAGAGAGGTGGTGGAGTCTCCTTCGCTGGAGATATTCAAAACCCGTCTGGATGTGATCCTGGGCAATATGCTCTAGGTGACCCTGCTTGAACAGGGAGGTTGGACTAGATGATCTCCAGAGGTCCCTTCCAACCTAAACGATTCTGTGATTCTGTGATTCTCACTCACAATTACTGAAAGAATTTATTGATGCAGTTGCCAGGCAGAGCTGCTGTGGGTTGGTCTCTAAGTTTGGAGGAGCATTTCAGTGCACACTTAAGTACCTATAGTCACTTGAAATGCTCTTGGGCCAGAAACATGCAGGTTTTCTACAAGTCCTGTGTCATAGATATGAGCACTGTGAGGATGTTTCAACAACATTAGGACATAAAGAGCTGTTTTTAGGCAACTGACTCCAGTCCTATCTGCCTAAACTCTATGTGTACAGTGTGACTTAGTCATATAAGGTCTAGGATATCTCAAATAACCCTAGATACCTTTGTGTAAACAACCAAATTATTGTTATAATGACTCATTTTGATAGGATTTAAGTAAAAAAAAAAACTAGAGATTGTTAGTTTTCATTTAGAAACATAAGTGGAACCTTATTTTGAAGAATGAAATGTCTATGCAGTTTAAAAAGTCTTATTTCAATTATCCCAACTCTGTTGAGGGAATGAAGAAGGCAAGAATAGAAACAGGATCTGGTTTTTGAGCTCTACGGCACTTTTGGGAGTGAAGAAAAAAATCAGATTACAATGATTCTTAAAAAAATGATAACTCCTTCCCATTCCAGGGCAGTTAAGATCTTGTACTTATGGTGACCCTCTGACTCTTTGAGGCATCACGCTAGTAAACCCTGATCTAATGCAGAGAAACACAGGTAAGCCAGAAATGGGAGCATTTCACTTCAGTGAGCAAGAGAACCCTTCTTTTCTGCATTTTGGCTTCCCAGTCTTCCCAGGAACTTTGGAAATCAGTGAAAAAGAGTGACGTAATGTTCAAAGCAAAAGATGTTGTACAGGGCATGGGCAATTGGCAGGATGCTGGAAGTACGAAAAAGGACCAGCAAAAAGGCTCCAAAATTTCTTTCAAGGTGATCTTTCTATCTTTGATAGATATGGGAATCTTGTCCACTAGAAATGCTGGCATTGTAAGGAAGATATCAAGCCTATTGGCGTCCTAATCAAAACAAGAGCTCAGTTTGGAGTTATCCCTCCATTTCAGACGGGGAGTGGTCATGTCTTTTATGAATGGTCTGCCAAAGGCAATGACAATTAACAAATAGCTAGCTTTTAGTATGCTTATCCATCAGTCTCCAGGCACTTTCTGAAGAAGGAAATTATGTTTATCCCAGTTAGTAATGCGATGAAAATGATAATTAAATATTTACCAGGACTCTTTTGCACACACCTATTAATGATATCACGTGACTCTCTAAGTTTGGATTCTCAAAGTTTTGACTTATTATTACAGAAAAGGATCTCTGGATAATCTTTCTTGAGCATTACAAAAGAGGTAAACATATCGAGCTATAATTTCAAACTTTTTTGAGAAATATCTGGCACTTTAGGAAAAAAAATCATCATAAGCCATGTTTTTAGATAGTAGCAATAGCAACATCAACAGTAGTAGTCAAATAATACTATTTTTAGTGCTTTTAAGTTCAAGATTTAGGAGTCAAGTGACTTCAAGAAGACTCTGATTTGCATTTTATCATCATTTACTGCTTTCATAAGTTCAGAGAAATGACTGAAAATGTAAAGGAATTTATAACACCAGAAAGCAATAAAAACAAAGTCCAAATGTATCATTACTAGCTTTAACATCTCAAGATTTTTATGCCGCTTGTGGGATCTTCTGGGTCCTGATTTTGGAAACTGGCTGCTACTGAGAGATACATTAGATATTTATGATCTTGCAGGTAAGAGAAACCGGTTAATATATTTTAAGAGTTGGTGATATCTCCAAAAATTGTTTTTAAATAGATAGAAATGAGAAATTTTACAAAGAATTGAGTAGAAAAAATTGTACTGTGTTCATATGACAGCTCAAT